GGGCGTGCATCCCCGAGAAGGGTGAAATACGGGTTTCAATCCTGCCTATCGTCAAAGTTTTGCATAACCTCATCATTATCGCGTACATTTGTAACATCATAACGTCGTTAAAAACGATCAAATTGAAGGAAGAATTCTGGTAGATAAAAAGTGGGAAAATCTTCCTTTTTGTAAGAAAGTAGTTTCTTCTCAGTTGACCCGAATTTGTATTGGGGCGTGCGTCAGTCTTCGTAGCCGTCGAATTGGGGAGGCACAAATGAAGGTGAAATTGTCCCTAACCGTCGCCAAAAAAACATACATACAGTTGTTGCCATTAATGTTATTGTACTATCGATAAAACTATCACTATTGTTATTATTATTGTCCTTCATTCCTGAGTCTCACTACTTCAAATGATTTTCGATGAGCTACCGCCACATGCGCTCCTCGGAAGGATCTTAATATTGACGATTTGGTTGGCAAAAAAAATTTCCCGGGGATTTTCGTTCTTGTGCAGGTTTATCCCGTTTTTTCAACAAATGAAAACAGCAAGTGATTATAGAAATATTTCCCTTCAGTCAATCACTTGCTTCCATTTGTCTGGCAATTTTATTCCCTTGCGGCGCTAAAACTTAGTGTACTGCAAAGCAAAGAGTTCTTCAACTTGCTTCAACCACCTCATCAACAATCGTTTATGCTCGTAGGACAGTTTCATATTAGAATAAACATATAGGTGTTATATATCAAAATTACCGCAAGAAGCTGCTCTAAACGATAGTAAAGACAAAAACTCAAACACTGACAAGTAACAAAAACGAAATAAACCAAATAATTCAGATTGGTGTGCAGAAACATTTGCGTCAGCAGGGACTCGATCCCAGATCTCACTCTTTCCGCGAGCGCGTGCTGAATTGTTGCACTATCCACGCGTGGTGCGCCAGCCGACATCAGCGCTCCCGGAAAGAGTGAGATCTGAGTTCGAAGCCCGGCCGACGCAGATGTTTTTGCACACAACCCTACATTATTGGATTCGTTGTAACATCATACCACCGCAATACGCGGTGAAATAAAATGAATCCTGTAAAATTATGAAGAATGTTTAGAACCTTACCCGAGATTGGTATGCCAGAGCCATACACGCGTGTTTCGAATGTCTCGCCCTCTTCTTTCTGAATGAATTCTGAGAAACGAAATTGTTCGTAAAGATTTTTTTCTCAACTCATTACCTAAGAGACGAATCAAGACAAACGACTTCCGGCTTCGAAAATTGGATGCCTCGGTGCATGCCTTATTTCCAGGACTAGTTGTCATGTTTTTCTTAGTGTAAGCTTGATAGACGGTAGTTTTAGAGATTAAAATGAGTGAGTACCACTTCAAGAAACATCGAATGTAGTGTTTTTTTTAATTATTCCTCTATATTGATTCGTCGATGTCGATTTTGTACATTTGGTTAGTGTTAGCTCCAGAGGAGACTATTTGATGAGGACTTGGTGCACGGAGTCATAAAATTCCACTCGCTAGGTAGGTGTCCACATAGAAACGGTTAGCTAATTGAGCTAATCCGTTATGTGCTTCCATGACATTACAAAGAAACAGCTTTAAACACTCCTTCAAAATGGCGTGAAACCGTGCTGTTTACTAAACACTGTTTTCAGGATTCGAACGAGGTTATCTTTCGTATAAAGAATGGTACTGCCCTGAGCAAACTAAAACTATTGTACGCCGATCGCATCGGCGTACCTGTTGATGTATTGTGGTGATTTGTGGTTTTTTATACCATAATTAAAACTTTATAGGACTCTTCAACATCAAATAAAGTTAGTGTTCAATTCTTTGCAGTTTCGTAATCGACGGCAGTCGAATAAACGATGGGGATACTCCGAGGAGCCTTGTAATGGAAGAGGACGACATGATCGAGGTAATTTTTTCCATACACTCAAGGAGTATAAACTGCTCGTTGTTGATGAACCCTTGAGGAATGCGCCGCTCGTTCGACACCAGCAATCATAGTGGAAGCGACAGATTGCGTATCTGGTAATTAGAATCATCTGGGATGGCTTACTGTTGCACTGAAATGATGTTTTTGTCATCCCAACAAAGTCTGATCACCAGTTTGGTGACCCCGAAGAATCGAAAGCTCGATGGACACGAGGGGGTGTTTACCGGATATGTATTCAGTAACCTCAATGACAAGTGTTAGAGTACAATACATGGGACATTTCTCAAGGATCGATGAAAGACTAGCAACTTTACCATTTTTAATGGTGGATTTACAAGTGTGTATTATTCTTCATTCTTGCTATTGTTCTGTGCAATAAATTCCCATTGGTATCTACTTCCAGTTTCAGGTCTACCAGGAACAGTACGGAGGCGGTACATAATCGCATCTTGTTTGCCATGCTACGGCTTTTCTTTCATAGTTGACGTGCTGCCCAAAAGAATCTAGCACTGCATTTTTTTGAACTTCTCTATCTTTTTTCAAATAATTCAGCTTATTAATGGAACAGTTGAGAGAAAATATGTTGCTAATAAACTTGTGCTTACCAGTTGCTTTTTGATCCGTCTACAATACTGTGATGTTTGCAGGCTTTGAAATCAAACATTCTACACAATTTCAGCTAGATTCAGATGCTTGTGAAGTTCCTAACTCACTAACAAAGTATGGCCGTCAAGTAAAACTAGACGTTTGTGTCGAAGATCATGGCCCCGTGAAGCATATATTCTAGAACGACGTGTAACCTCAAAAGAGTCGTTGCCCCTTTGTTTTTGTTGCTTTTGTGTAATCTTTGAAAGGATATTTATTGAAGCGATGACTTAATATCGAGGCACTGGAAAGCTTCAAAAATAACAAAAAATACCGGGTACTATTCACTACAGGACGGGAATGAAATGGATAATATGTGATCATCGATGTAAGGAATAAATGGAGGCTAACTTTTGTTCAAATAAGGACGAATGCTCTTTTGCGCAGTAGAGTCGTTAAATTCTCCACTTGACATGAACAGTTCACTTTCTTCTACAGTTCTTGGCTAATCACTCATGTTTTCGCTGCCTTTGAACCATATCATCACATCGTCCTCGATTCGGACCTGAATAACATAATCGTTTATAATGAAAGTATAGTAAACAGGATTCTGGTTGAGGACCTACTCCACCTTGTCCACGATATTTGTCAATTTCTGATTTGACGAGGAATTTCGCTTGGTTCGGATCGTTAAGTGCAGCTTCGAGAAATGTATCGCTGAAGTGGCATCCTGGTTCAATCGTGATGACCTCAAATTATCTAGTCAGAGAATTTGGATAATACTACAAAGCGATTTCCTCCCAGACAAGTCCAAGGGTGTGTACCATTTTTTTTCTGTAATTTGCTTGTTGTGCGCAAGCTCTTTAGATCAGGAGTCTTCGATCTAGGCAGGGCATTTTGTCAAATTTCTGTAATGATTGGCACATAATCAGTTATGGAACTATTTCACATATTCCTAGATAGCTATCACATTCGCGAAAATCATGTCCAATTAAGTGTACTAAAGCATGAGACATGAATACGGCTCCCAATCTAGCTTGTATCATCTCGTCAATGTCACTTGAGAAAGATCTACCTCAGAGAAAAATGTCGATTAAAGAAGTGCCGAGCGAAGACTAGAGATATCGGGAAGACCATGGCCTTTGTGCAGGCTCTCTAAAATTCGTTTGGGTGCATTTTAGCAACGAACCTCTACAAGTCCTGCTTCCATTAGATGTGTGAGTACTACCCGCTCTGCAAGAATATGCATGTCAGTCCAACAGACACCTTAAATGACAAAGAGTGCAAACTTCTCAACATATTGTGAGTGAAAAGAGACAGACATGAAACCGCTTGGTGTGCTTGACGGACTGCGTTGTAGACGATTTTCTGCTTGTCGATGAAGTTTCTATTTTCTGGGAACGATCTGGTGATATCAAAGGCTTTACAGATATCAACTTTTCAGGGAGAAGAACAATTAGTAAGTACAATTATAATCATATTATGATTAAATTATTTCTTAATTTTTATATTTTCTTTTTTTAATTCTATTTGTATTATTTTTTATATTATATTTGTATTAGTTTTCAATTATTAGAGTTAAAAAAGTAGAAACAATTAGTAAGTATATACTTACCATAGCAATTATATTCTGGTCCCCTATCGAACAAGCACATATCACCGTCTTCGATTAGTTTTTCGTATGCGCGCTCGCATGTCCATGATGTAGGATAGAACTGTTGTCTCCCCTTTAAATGTTTTGGACACTGAGAAGTTTCTAGGCTTGTATTCCTGTGATAGAGCTAAAGAATAAGCTCTCGGTGTTGATTAATCCCTGAGGGATACGCCGTACATTCGACTCCATCAAGAATCATTAGATGTATTCAATGTCTATCTGGCCTGTACAATATCTCGCAGTGGCCAGCCGACGCATCAAGTCAGTGGTCTATACTGTTAGACGAGTTTGTGCTAACACTGACCCGGAGCGAGAGAAGGCTTGGTGAGCCTTGGGAGGGCTCGAGCCATCGACTCTGTGTGCAATGGAGAGCACCTCGAACCGCTGCGTTACACCGCTCATTTATCCAATATTAAGAGGATGTAACTCACCGAAAGAGAGCACTAGTTTTTCAAATAAAAACATGTGTCGGACTAATTTCAAGGGAAAACTAAGTATGGTCATATTCTCATTGACATTCACAGAATATTTCATCAAGAGGGCTAGTCAGTTTAAAGAAATATGGAGGCACTTATTGATCCAGAATTGATCAAATATCGATACAGAATCTTCGGAATCGAATATTTCTGTTTGAACCAAAACAAAAAACCTACGATATTGCGATACACTTGTAAGCCAAATAACGACAACCACCATGATAGTAAGATGTATGACGAAGAACGCTATAAAAATATTACATCGAAGTTGAACGTGTAGACAACAAATGCAACGTTTTATTGCTTTTTTCGTAATCTCATGATGTCGCAAATATACCTAAGAGAAGTCAGTGATGAACGACAATCCTACCTCAGACGGGAGTTAAACCCGTGTTTCATTCATACAGGGTGCGCGTGCTACCAATGCACCACCGAGGCCACCGCTGCCCACTATTCATTTTTCAAGTATATCGTTCTCATAGCTATTTCCGTGTGAGGTCGAACTCAACACTCAGTTTTCTTGGGTATATTTTGAACGTATAGACATTGTGTAAATACGTAATACATATTCAGTTGTGCCAAGTGATGATATGCAAATCTTGGAGCACCAGGCGGGAGTTGAACCCGTGTCCCACACTTTGCAGGAGTACGTGCTAACCACTGCATTACCAGGCTCCTGTTTTTCTATTACTTACCAACTAATTTAAAGCCGATATGTGATCACTGAAGCACGCCTAAATGAAGAGTAATAGCAAAACAGGAGCCGCGATAGTGTAGTGGCTAGCACGCACCCTCGCAAGGCGTTGGACACGGGTCCAGTTTCTTCCTGACGTTCTGAGATTTGCATATCACTCCACATCATTGTGTAGATAGTCACACGTTAGATCTCAGCTTCAGCCGGTCGACTTCCGTGGACCCGCACTGAGCGTGTCGGGCTCCATCTCCTCTTCCCCGCAAACTGCAGTACTAGTTTTCGTTACAAAACCGCACGCGAACCAGTTCAAAACTTAGCTGCGGGTTTTGCAACGAAAATTAGTGCTGTAGTCGGCGACTAATCGAGAAGTCGATTGGTTGAGAAATACAATGAAATGAAAAGCATCCCTCTTGCAAAAAGGTATTGAAGAGTTATACCGCTACATTTAATATTCATAGAGTCCATCACACAAGGTTTTTACAGCGCCACGTTGAATCTCAGAGGCAATTTTACTGGCATATCTGATCACGGAACACACCTTGTTTACTGCTGCCTGCTTTACTGCGAGACGTGAAGCCGCCACAACAGTAGCTGAATGGAGCGCAACGTCGCACGGTTTGCTACGTTTTGTAGCACATGGTCCCAAAAGGGTTAAACGATCGATCGGTTATGTTCTTCACAAGAATCGAAGCATAAAGGCCTCTAGATCTAAATTCTAACTCCTTGTCGATCTTGAAGCATAGGCATACATATGACACCATTTCACTGCTAAAATAGCATATAAATGAAGTTTTGTTGTATCAATATTGCTGGATTCAGAGCTGACTTCCTATCCCAGATCGCATAGTTTGGATCGAACGTCGGTGGAAAAAGGTACGACTTTCCTGAGTCAATATTATTCTGTCCATAGAAATCACTTTCATGTACACCAAAAAGCCGAAAGAAATAAGATAATCCTCTGCATCCGTATCATAGCAATACTTTTCAACGCCTTTTTGAAGAAGTATGACACTCCTTGATGTGATTACAGTGTGTAAATAGTACTAACAATGTATACTCCTTCGTGACTTTGCTATTCCTCGCTATCACATGTATTATGTATAATTCAAATGAACGTAAGAAAACATGTGCACACATTCACATACATAAAAGCCTGAAATTTAGCTCCTCTGCGTGCATGCATTTCTACAGTGCCCAATAGATGTCACATAGTCTACTTTGATTTTGCACCAGATTCGCGACAGTTGTGACATGAACGTACGCATAAAAAAAAACTTTGACGGTATACTAATGAGCAAACAAAAGATATTTCAACATTAAAGTGAATAGTATTCTTTCCTGCAAGCTTTTTGCTTTGTACTCAAGTGGAGCACTCAATAAGAAACTCTATAAAGCAGTGACTATGTGAAAACAGCTTGTTTGGAAATCAGTTTTGTAATTTTGGGCTTTCTTGACAGAGTCATAGAGGTATTTAGCAGACTATATTGTAGTGAACAGGACCATTCCAAGCTTTGTGAAGCCATAATATGTAATTTCGCGTTGCGTGTTGCGACGATGAGCAAACGGATACGAGCAGGCTCATGTCTCGGGTGATAGTAGCATTTCAACAATTGCTACAAATTCCCTCACACGATCTTTCTATGCATTACTTAACAGTGGCTCACAACAAAACAATTTTCAGAACAAGGTGAAAGCGCTCAAGTAACTTGGAAAGCCCGTCATCTAAAGAGGAATGACGCAGAGAAAGCATTAGATTGCGTTCATACTTACCTAACAAACTTCGCTCTATTCCCTAAAATACTGGAGAGAAAATTATTTGAACTAGCTACTTTCCGCGGTCTATGAAGAAGAAGGAATCCTTGTCAATAACCGAGATAACACGAATAGTGCAACAAGACCTTAATGGAGAATGAATTAGAGCAAATGAATCGAAGACAAGGAGTGCTGACATCCGCGCAGTAAACTGGGATCACGGGCCAAGCAGCTAAATGAAATAAAGACACATTTCGACATTGTTCGTTACCTATTGTTTTTTTAGTACTTGATAACTTTCTCTCTCTTGTTCATTTCCAACACTTCCATATGATGGTAGGACTGCACATGTGCATTATTGGACGCATATCTTGCTGGATGAGTTAAACAGGATTTTCACTATAGTCCAACCTTAAGATTCAGTTTAATCTAGCCACATATTAGTCATAGTTCAAAAGCAGTTCAAGGGTTCTCATAGTTCTTCTCAAAGTTCAAAACTTAGGCAAAATTCAACTTGTTTTCTGTCATGGTACGACACAGGTAAGGAATACTGATTAGAAGCGAAATGGCCATGGAACATGGATACCACCACAATAAAGTAGCTTACTGAAGAGAATTTTTGTCTTTAACATACATACTCTAAATTTTTTTCCTACAATAATTCAAAAATAGCAGCCAAGAACAACTGAGTGTACGACACTGCCGATCTGATGATTTAATTCGCTTGACGGAAGTGTAAATCGTTCGTCGTCGTCTGTTCAAATAGGGGGACTGGAATACCCCAAGAGGATTCTTTAAAGGCTAAGGGTCTGAACGACAGACCAGGCTGCCAAGTATAGAACACATGTATCGGCCTGTACAAGAGCTCATAAACAGACCACATGATATGCTGCAGTAAATAATGATTATGAGCGATAACCTATAACTATGAAGATAACTGGGTTCAATGTCGTTATTGACCACCACGCCAAAAAGTTGACGGTTAGTTGCCGACCGACCGATGCGTCGTAGCAAAGAGAGGTGGCAAAATAGGCTTCGGGAGCGCATCAGGATGAAGCACGTGATCAAGGATAGGGCGAAATAAGAGTGAGAGTTCCGACTGAAGCTAAAATTTGCATATCTCTTAACGACATAGGATGGCAAGACCGTTTTTGAGCCTATAACTGACCAAAGTGCTTAGGTTCATTTTCCTTTTCCGCATATAATACATATTTTGTGCATAGCAAGCAGATAATAGGTGAGAGGGTCATCGATATTACCTCCCCTTACATGGGGCTCACCGATAACTTTTCAATATTAACCGTTTGAAGGTCTCCATATTGTTTAAGAATGAAATAGACACTTATCACTTGGAAATTCAAGGCTAATGAGCTCCTGATAGATTGTTTTCAACGACATTTGAATTATCTGAGCACACGTCCTTGTAATCTGCTGGGCGCAGAAGCAAATGGACAAACGTATCCAAATCCTTTCTATGACGCGACATTATGTTTATCAGCCCTTTCAGGATGGAATGTAATCAACAGGATACACGAACCGATGGAGGCTTCTCACGCTGTGAAAAACTTCTCCCCAATCTCCTTGTAATCATTTAGTCTTTAATCTCGGCAGCTAAAAGGCACGTTTATGTTGGCATGAAAGGGACGATGGATTCCCTAATAGACGCAAATTTTCAAAGCTCGAGCATTTGAGGAGCTATGTGCAGTCCGTCCAATCAGTCATTTATACCTTATGAGAGAAACGAAGGCCCTTAGCAACGCTCTTAGAACTATCAGTTATGTAGCGCAATGGGATCCAATATAGAGGCACAGGGCAACGATAATGAACCTGAAATAATTCCGCGACTCTTGCTTCCTAACAAATACAGTCTTGAGCTGGACACTCTGACGTTTCCATCTTGTTAACAATTTTTTTCGCTCAGCGGTGTAATTCAGAACTACTGGACCTTATTACAATCAGCTTCCGTATGTCTTTCATAAATATATACATCTCACAAATACTTTGAAAACGTATTTATCTTGGGTCTCTGCATTAGCAAACATTAAAAACGCTGAAATCCAGTTGATAGGGTGAAGTTGATCAAAAGAACTTTGTTCGAATAACGTTTCATCTTCTTCTTCTGCTTCAGGGCAATCATTTGAGAAACGGTGTTCAAATTAAGTGAAGGGAAGAAGTAGATTTACAGAGAAGACGCGCAACTGTGAATAAAGACCTTTGAATGTAAACCAAAATAAGTTCTTTCATGAATCTCGTGGCAGTAGTCGAAGAGTAATAGAAACATGACTATTATGTTTATAAAAAGAAAAACCATTGACCCATGCCGTTCAAACTTATTAGCGCCGCTGATTTCGGCTCGAAATTTCGTGTATTGAAATCCATAGGAGTTTCTAGTTAAATTTATGTATTTTGAATTTTCAGCGAGTGTTAAAGAACCTTTTCCCTCATCTTATGCTCTGAAGACGACAAAAGAAAAAAATTTCAAAAATATCGATCTACAAGGAAGTGTATCAGATATACAACGCTCTCTTGAAACTCAAGACAACATTCACAAATATTTCCGACGGCCAATAGTAATGACCAACGGTCTTTTGAAAATTCCACTTGCTTTTGCGAAGGAAATCAACTCAAACTGTGTTTGGTCACAGAGTTTCACTCCTGAAGACTGTTCGGTGTGGTTGGTCAATCCCACATCAAGTATCACAAGTCACTCGCCGCTCCCCGGTCCGGTCATAACACATCCACAAAAAACATCCCCGTATTCTGCTGTCCATAGGTTTTCTCATGTCGGGGTGGAAATATCAAATTTATCTTGTGCGCGGAGTAATATAAGTCAAGTAAAAAGTTATTTAACTCAGTAAAACCGTCGAAGAATGTGGATGACTAATAACATGACATGTTTGGTACATAAATAGAGAATTTTTCAGGAATGAGATTGATGGTCACTTAATGAGGCTGTATTAGAAGGAAAAGAAGTGACGTTTCGCTGAAAAAA